ACTCTCTATCATCATGGGGATCGTTCAGAAGAGTAAGCGCGATGCTTACAATTAGCACCAGGCCAATGCGTCATTGCACGCTCGGCAGATGTTCATCATGCCGATGATTTTGGAGTTTAAGATCGCTGAAATGTATTTTTAAGAAGTGAGAACGGCAACTGATACCAGCACCATTATCAAATTCATCCCAGTTTCGATCAGTGGGTGAATCTCAGTTCCATAAGACTAACGTCGGGAGCTCTCACACGTGGCCTACTTGAAGGCATAGCTTGCTTTTCCTCCACAATCTAGCCCGCTGCCGATGAGGGGGCGTGGCAGTGAGGCTCGGTTTGGCGCGTCGCCAGCCCGCGACCAGTGTTGACTCGGTAAGCGACAGCTGGTGTGAAACGAACGATATGACGCAGACTTGCTTGTTGCAGAAATGACTTGACGGTAGTTCTGCAGTGAATAGCTCAGTTCCGTAGTCCAGTATTGTCCTTCTTTTCTGGATTGATGAAGGATCATAATGTCCACAGCACCTTCGTCAACTGACAATCCTCCGCTGGTGACAGCCGAAGAAATGCTTGCCATCTGGGCCACGACATGCCAACATCCTACAATTAACAAGCAGTCGTGGAGCCACGTCGTCATGTTCCGTATGGGATCATGTCTGTCGCTTCGCTGCTGGTCTTCTACCATGCCCTCAAATTTGTCTCTTGCTCATCTGAGCACGCTCCTCAGGGTCGATTGGATTGTTTGAGAATCGCTTATCTTAAATCACGTACTTTTTTTCACTGGTTCGTCGACGAGTACCCACAAACACTTACTACACTTACTTGTACCTCAGTATCCACGATTCGAAGGCCATGAGTGCATTCAACTCAAGGAATTCAATTAAAAACGCTCTCTTTTAAAAGGGAATACCCGGAAGAATCATTTTGGGAACACTCAGAAACTAATGCTGTCGCCGTGATCGTCAGATCGGTATAGCGCAGTCGCAGTCGCAAGGAAGCCATAATCCTGGAAACGAGCAAGAGTTGCGATAGAAAGTATAGTACCTGCCACCTCTCATCTCGTCCCTGCCCTTATGACACAACGACTCACTAGACTCAGTTTGGGCCATTTAATGAAACCCCTGGATAGCGAATTCGTTGGACATGAGACAACTAGCGAACAGTTTGCGACACTGGTATAAGTAGGTATAGAGCTCCAGTTCTACAGAAATCACCAGTTGATATGAGCAAAGATAGATATACGAGTAAAAAGCCCTGGTAGGGTTTCCAAAGGGCACCCTTCATGTGAGTGTATACGTGAGTAGGTCAGTGAGTTGACGCCGTTAAGACGTGATGCTGTTGAGTAAGCCCACTTATGGAAGTGAGTCAAACGCAGCCAGTCCTGATTTATGGACTAATGTTTGCCAACACCTTGCCGACGTTTGATCAAATAGCGTTTCCCTAACTTGAAGGTTCCTTTGGTTGCTAAAATCACAGGAAACACCACTGATCCCGCAAAAATTTTTCTACCTTTCTATTATTCATCGCCGGCACACGGTTTCAGGGCTTCTTCTAAAGAAGTCTGAAGGCTGAGGTCGCTACACCTCACCAAAAGACGCATGCAGGTCACATATGATAAGATAAGACAGACATGTCATTGCAGGATAAGTGGGCCGAAGGGGGGGGGGGTGGGGGAGGGGTAGATAAGTATTTAATTGAGTTCGAGAAAGGAAAAGAACACTGAATGGGTAGTATGAAGGCTTCACTTAATCCGACCAAACATAGGACTATAGCCGTCAGGCACTATCTCTTATTATGGTTAGATGACCTAGTGAGGGACAATCTAACCGTGTTGAATGAAAATCAGAGGAATCGCACTGACGGCAATCGAACCTCTGACAGTGCTCTGCTGCTTTACAATGACTTGATTTAATTTCAGGACCCTCTATTCTTACTTGTGAATTGATATTTTTCATTTACACGGTAGGCAGGCCGTCAGCTGTAAAAGGGTAACAGATTCAGAGATTGCTGATAGCTGAATGTTTTTTGTTTCTACGTTCGCAAGTAACGAACACTGGACAACACGCGACACGCTGCACGGCCAGCCATGCCTACGCGCTCCATGTTTGCACCCCCTCATGTTGGCTAGAGTGCCATTATACTCTACAGTTCGCCTATAACAATGTTCCGGAGTGGCGAAATAGGTGCTCCTCTACAGCTGTGGACGTGCTCATTCGCTCATAGAAAGATTCCCTTACACTCAGCCCAACCTAAGCCCTAAAGATCGTTCCGATGATCCTGGAAATGGATGAATTCCTTACTCTGTTTGTTGTTTGATTCCCTATGTAAGAAAAATTAAGAGCAAAGAAGACCATTAGGCCGAGTCACATATCGGTAAAGAATACGCAGCCTAGAGAGACGTGGATACGAGCACCAGGGTGGAAGATACATAAGATGTTCCTCGATAAGCAGGAGCAGGCTCTTGCCCATCATCTTCATGAGAAAGCCTATGGAATTCACGTCCCTTCCAAAGAGCTGCGAAACTTCTAGCATGGAGTCACCCATGGACAGCTACCTGGGACGGCACTCTTGATCTGGAAGACCTCTAACATCGAGCAGCTCCGGCAACGTCGCGCTACGGTCCAGGATATCATCTTCACCGCAGTCGCCAAGTTGGGAGTTGATGGTATGGACCGGAAGTTCCTGGAATGTGAAGACCGATATTTTCTTCGTGAGACCCCGGACTGAAGTGAGCGCTGACGGTTACATCGACCAACTCGAGGAGAATATCCTGCCTTCATGTCGTCGCCCGTACCATCTTGGAAACTTCGTACTGCTACAGGATTGGGTGCCACCACATGGAATCGAAGGGCGTTGGAAAAACTCTCGCCTACTTGGAATGGAAGGGCGTTGAGTACTGAAGAAGACGGAATATCCAAGTGTGTCACTTGTGTCAAACCCCCTCGATTACTGGGTCGCGAGGTGCTCAACAGGATGGTCTTACAGTGGCGGAGAAATCAACGACCTCGCTGAACTCAGGCACCGAATCACGGTCGCGTGGCAGAATCTCTCGATGGCGCTCGTCCAGAAGGCTGTGGCGGAGTCGTGCACAAAGTGCTTCCTTTTTCCGGTGTTTCTTTATCTGCTGCTACCAGATGAGCAACGTACAGGGACGGGGTCGTGCCGAGACCCTTTTCAGAGGAGGGGGAGGTCGTATTTGGCAGAAATTTATCGCAAAACGATGACGTGCCCTGCCTACAGCGCCGCGACTGATTGCGACGGTATCAACTGTGTATCACCGCATGCAGCGTGCACACGCACAAAAATATGGCAGAGCGATGTATCACAGGAACGCTTCCACGATCGTATTGGGGGGTCCTTAAGTTACTGAAGTATGCAAGTGGCCTATCTTGACTTCTGTACGCTGGCAAGCCCGCTGAAGACCACTGCTTATGGATTACGGTAGTTCTGTTAGTGTGGCTCCCGTGAAAATGCGTACGGTTGCTTAGGCTGGATTTGAAATATTTTACATTTAGATTGTTCCTCGAGTAGGACTAGTTATGAGTTTTCCAGCTCAACTGATATTATTTCGACGACCAGAAAACTGAAAATTAGCTAGTTTTTGTAGTAATCCAGCCATAGCATAAGCTAGGGTGTTCAAAATCACATTTTTCTACTCCCTGGATTTACTGAGCTCCACTCATTTCTTTGATTTTAACATAATTTGGAGGAGAGGGATTGGTTCCTTGGCCCTTCCCTTCCCAAGGCGCTGAATCATAGCAGAGTCCACTCCACCAGAATCAGCAAGGAGTAGTTAACCGAATTGCTCGAACTAATCGAACTGCTTGCTACCTGTATTTTTTCACAGTGCCGATGATTTAATCATTTTTCAGCGAATTCGAGTAATGCTAGTAAAAGTTAGCGTTGGTTCGAAGTCGTTCCCTGTGGAAATAGGGAACGAAGACGGTTCCATCTCAACGTTGGGAGAGTTCAGGACTCATGTTGCTAAAGAAGCCAATATAGAATCTTCTTGTATGAGATAATTCACAGCGTCGAGCTGGCGAAGTTTCTTTCTTTGAAAGCACTCATAAAATCTTGTATTGTGTTTAAACAACTAGCCGGCGTACTCTCAAAACGCCCAAACCGCTTCCGCACCTTGACGCAAAGTATGAACGCCGCCTAACGCTCATAGTTCGTGACACCGGCAATTGAAATTGTGTTCATATCAAGTTTCTCCAGAGAACGGGGCTCCTTCTCTTACAGAACGTTTCTCTGAACCGTCCCTCCACTTTGTCAGGGCTTATCTTTTCACTACTCTTAACAATAGCTGCAGATAAAGGTGCTTTCATTTGGGTGTTATTGAATTAAGTGCTCATGGAGCAGCGTCAGTAGCGTCTGAGGCGCTAGAGTCGCGAATAGTAAATGCTTCGTTGGGGGAATTTTGGACAACGTTCTGAGGGGGTGGGCGGGTTGAATGACAGCACAAAGCATTCTTGGTCGCGATCCTCTCTGGATTTGTTGGAATTACGTCGAATTTGTTGTGTTTGTGTTTATTGTAGACACTCATTCTATCAGTATACTTAGCGCTAACACAAGAACGCTTGATTGACATTAAAAAATTTTTATCTAAATGCAGGAGGAAAACTGAGAACCAATTTTGAATAATTTGAGTGCTTCTTCTCATTGCTAATTCTCATTTTTTTCCTCTTTTCAGGAAAAACTATCACTGGTGAGGACAATCTCTCTTTGCTAGATATGAACTTAAAAGATAATGACAAAATATTGATCATGGAAAGGTTATCATCGTCAATGAAGGTATGGGTTGTGTTGTCTGCTAAGTAATTCCAAGAATTTATGAATTGATCCTTGTGACTGCTATTATTCCAAGCCATTAAGTTCTCTGTTCTTAACGGTAGGGTTACCATGAAACGCATTCTGTACTGATTGGTCTACTGGTTGTCCTTCCTCGGCCAATTGCCATGGACTCGCTAAGACTGCGTTCAGACTTTGCGATTCCTACCAGGAGCGCACTGGCGCACTGCCGACAGAAATCAAACTGGGCCGTGTTCACACAGTGCCATTTTGAATCGTGCCGTTGCGACGGTGCGCCATTTGGCCTCTGGTCGGGATCGCGCGACCGCGAAGTCTGAACGCGATCTAAAAGGCGCAGTTCGGCGACAGTGGTTTCACATGAGTTCACAAGTTATACCAAAAAGAGGCTTGTAAACCGGCACTAATAAAGCACCGGAAGTGCAAAATGTCCTCCTCCCCCTCCTCCCATCACTGAACTGCGCCCGCTAAGGCCTCGTTTCTACGCGACGCTGTCGAAGAATCTGCGATTGGGAGAATCAAAAAACGCGATCAGTGAAATCACGATCCTCCTTTTTCACAAAATGCTCCTCAAAACGCATAGAGGACAAACATACGTGAACGTATTCTATCTCGTCGTTTTTGTCGACTTCCCCAATTTTTTCGCTGAACTCTTCAACGGCGTTTTATATGAACGCGAACAAACTATCTGGGTAATAGAGACGTACCTTTTAATGGTCCTGAATAGTCCGTGCTCGACTTCTTGCAATCTTGGCATGATGAGTGTCGTTGTCATAGACTGTCAACCCTCTACAAGACCGAATGGCTCTGTTGGGCCCATGTTTCGGCGTCTTCGCCCACGTCAGAGTCTGAAACGGGCAGAATCCACTTCAGACCTACCCACTCGATCCTTTCAGGACAATTTCACCAGCCCATTGAAGCTTTCAGCGGTATCAATCGAGAAAATGCGGCTCACCTCGACCTCAGCATCTGCCGTGGTGGGGACTACCCTGGGTTGTTTGGAACTTGGAGTGATCATCTCTACTTATTCACTTCAACCTGCAATAGATCAAAACTTGCAAAGGTTGAGAAAGGGCGAAACTAATGGGCCATGGACAGACATCTCTCCTTTCTATCCTTTTGTGGTACTTGGCAGTAATCCAAAACACCTCTGGTCCCGCCGCAATCTCGGGCTCTTGCGCTCACATGATCACCTACATGTCGAATGCCATGCCTCCATGATATTGAATACGGCCCATCAACTTGTGATCTACTAATCCTCCCCAGTTATTCCGTGGGCCGCACACGAAGAGGGCGACCCGTTACTTACTTACTGGCATACCTGTATCCTGTAGGTAGTTGGCGATTTCATACAGTCCGGGCTGATAATCCTGTAGTTTGAGAGTGACTTTCTTGAATCCGGATGCTTTAAACTTCTTCTGATCTTGCCATTTTTGCTTCAAATCTCTTCTGTATTTTGTTGTTGTCTCAGCAGTCTTTTCGCTTTCTTTTGTACCTAAACCAAGTGGTCTCAGATTTCAGTAGTCGTTTCAGTACGAGATAATGGGGCTGCGTTTTAGTCAGGCGTCAGCCCTCACTTTTCCTGTTTTTCTATTCGGCAAAGCGACTACGACCACCATCGCTTCTATACAGTCATTTTCCCTCCATGTTTGTTTTATTTACTTTTTTTCAACCACTGCTGAGAACTGCCTGGTGCGCACGGCAAGCACGACACTGCACGCACCCATCTATCCGCCACGGCGAACCAGAATTTGTGTATACATTAGGGCCGAACAGCAACTTGAAATTATCAGTTATTTTAAATCCAGAATGTGTCCGAAAGTTTGTTAAATGTCCGTGCATTGGCCGGGGGATATCCAAGGGATTGAGTCGTTATTTGTGTTATTTAGGATGATCCTGGTTTTTCGGCCCTTGTGGCCTATGAGAAAGCAAATTTGTTAGGACTACAGAAACAGCACGAGCAAATCGAAACCGATCTCAATGACAAATAGTGAGCTTGAATTTCCTTCGATGGTACGTTATATTTTTTTCTGATAATTCAACTGATGAGCATTAAAGTGGATATTCGTGCGGAAAGATTTTGATCGCACTTCTCTACACTAACCATCATAAGATTGAAAGTGTTAGTGAAATGGCCACGGGAAGTATTTGCTGTCAGTCACTACGATACGATACACTACGATCTGCGATATGTGGAATACGTTGAAGTGGGCACAATGGTTGATGGAGCACTACTTGGGAGACAGCTTATGTCATTCTGAATGCATTTTCGGCGCAGTTCGACTAAGGGGAGGGGGTATCCCATGCTTCACTATTTCCGTTTTACAAGTCTCACTACGGAGAAACCTGTGAACTCTTGTCAAACTGGAGCAAGCTTGTTGAGCCATCATGGTAAATGATCTTTGTATGCTATCACTTGCTTTTACAAAGTTGACTGATATCATCTTTATGGCTTCATAAGAATTTCACAGGTGTTATTTATGGCTGGACACTAGTTCCCTTGATGGGAAAGTAGCGCAATAGCCCAAAATGCGCATCCCTCCCCGTCGCCAACGGCCACCGTATTTTCATTCTCGATCCCAGGTTCTGCAGATATTTATATACTCATACATGGGCTGCAGCACGATTGTCGCGAAATTCCGTACATGTTGTTATGTAATCGATCTTCCGGAGTAAGGGCGTTGCGTTTGAAACTTGATGAAGAAATTCAAAAGGTTGATTCCTCGGCTTCACCCGCGATGTACTCCTCCCTCCGCGTTGACAGCTTGTAAGGGAGATCGTACCGGAGGAGCAAATCCAGAAGTACTGACATCACCATTTCACCCATCGCAGTGCTTTATCCTGATGTTATTTCTCGAGGATAGCTACTCATAATAAAGATAAACTAATTACAAATGGTAACAGATGTTTTCATGCTTCCAATCTGTTTAAGTGCAGAAATCACTTGAAATGGTCAAAAGGATGGAGAAGAGATTGGCACATTTCACGGAGACATCTATGAAGCATCTTGAGGCATTGGATGGCTTGAACATCATTGGAGAGCTGACGACCGAAACCCAGGTAACCACAAAAGATTCTTCTTTTCTTTACTGTGGGGTTAGGGGTGGAAGGGTATGTGGCTATTATGTGGCTATTGGTAGCTGAATCCTGTCGTTTTATTGTGGTCTCTGTTGTACTGTGAGGTCCCAACGATTCAGGTATTTGCCTGGAGCATAGTGTCATACAAATACCGCGGCAGGGCTTAGTGCCGTTGAGAAATCCTTAACCAGGGGCCTGCTTGGGTATCCAGAGAGAGGAGTCGTATTCGAATTGCTGAGTCGGAGATTTGGAGGGCGCTTAACTTAGATACTTTGCCGATTCTGGCGTAGGAATATAAAACATTTGGCGTGGGGTATTATACGGAGACCTTGGGGGTAAGGGAACGTAAAGAGCTGGGTGAGTGGTGGCTTAGATCCAAGGGGTACAACATAGTTTCCTCGTTGGTATGGGTATGGGTTATACTTCAGACCGCGCTCGTTCCGAAAAATGTTCTCGCATATTGTTTTGAGAAACCAGTGTGACTCTAGAGAAGGACCACAACGATACCTCCACACATGAAAACCTTTCTCTCCTTTCGAATAGTGCCATCCTGACCCTGATTTGCCTCTCGCTATGCTCTAATAGAAAAGCAGGTTGCCTATCGCAGTCGGGGCATAAATGTACCAAAAGTTTTCCGTATGACTTAAAGACACGGTCCGCGATTATACTCCTCTGTGAAATCCCGTTTTTGCACAAGGTAACTCAAATGGCGAGACTGCCAGAAGTTTGCCACGAAGGTCAAGCCCCGCCCACAGAGGTCGGTCCCGCCCTTTTCATTTCGTTTCAGAATCTCTGTTCGGCGGTGAATCCCTCGTCTGTCTACTCTCTCGCGATTTTAGCCATCTATACGTCTTTTGCTCGCTTGTGTACCGTACGTAGTCTGGTGCCTAAAACCAACAGGAATCTTATCTTCGGTTTATTTCGATTTCCCTTCGCACCTAACTAAGCGATTACATACTCTTGTTTATGTGCCCCGTTTTCCAAGAGTTGCCAGTGCGAGCAGTGTCTTCTGGCGACTAACCCTCAAGCTGAAATATTTCTCAGAGAACATTCTTATGGTGAGCACGGCCCTCGTAATGGTTCAAGTTTGTAGGCCGTGCGAAATCGTGAGAAGAGGAAGAGTCTAATCGATGGAATCAACACGCTGCTAAATGGAAATGACAAGCATAGTCGAAGGCTAGAAGAATATAAAAAGAAGCTCCTCGGAGAGATTATTGAATGATTCGTTTGTTGTGCTTTAGTGGAGTTGTTTCAAGAGTTTTTTGAATGACTAATTTATTTGAAATGCAACCTGCTTGCTCTCTTTCCGCGGTGATTTTCCCATGTAATTAACGAGTTTTAACAAAGTTTTAATTTTACTTGTTTGTGGTTTTCGTTGTGATATTCAGTTTTTCCTTTCTGGATACTGAAATAGATCAGCGAGAGAACGGACCGGTTGCCATTCGAAGGGGGGGGGGAGAGCATACGGCATCGTGACTAATAGGGAGAGTGAATGCATTGGAAAAACCACTCCAAATCAAATATTGTTTGTTACAACCTTTACTTCAGAGAAACCAAAGTCTTCGGGGTAAGACCTTCAAAGCTACGTGACCCTGTTTACCGCTTTTAGTTTAGCGCGTTCCAGTCAGGATAGAAGCCGACAAGAAATTGATTGCAAATGGTGACGCGTGCGCGGCTTTCGCACCAGGAACCGTTTAATTCCACGTGGCACTGCTACAGTGCGTCGAGTCAGCTATATAAGAAATACTCTGCCAGTTTATGGGCGATGCGGACTTACTCGGATAACGACATATCCCTTTGAACTGAACCAGATAATTTACGGAAGTTTGGCTACAGTTTGCTCAATATGGCATGCTCCGCCCATTAAGGGCGTTTCTCCCGCACTTCGAACTCCACCCCAGCGGATTGCCCATTTTTATTCTCACTTCTTTAATGACTGTTTTCGGTGGAAATTCTGTATTCTGTGAAAGAACCAACCTAAACAACTGGTTATCATCCTGAAAAATAAGCAAAACAATCAACATATAAACACTTTATTCTATCACCATTATTGACTGAACAGTCGCTTGATTACAATGGACAACGGCAAGAAAAACTAGCGCGGTGCACATACAGTAATCTGATTGAAAATCTACATTTCTCAAGGAGAATATTTACTTTAAGGCATCAATCTGAACCAGTGCCACATGATATCATATCACGTTGCAAAGAAATGCGTTGTGACTCATCGGAATTTCGCAACACTAATGGAATCAATGACGGCAGCTCTCACGCGAAAAGAAATAATGAAGTCATACGAATTACATAGATTACCCCATGGAAGCTAAATGAAGGGGTCATAAATCAATGAAGAGCGAAGGGGGTAACCTGGCGACAGGGGGGCAAGAGGCGCGGCACATGGAGCGGTCCGCCGAGCTTGTATAACTTAGCTAGTTGACCCGACAAAGCATTGTGGCGTCAAATCAAACAGATCATGGCAGTCTGCGTCTTCTACTGCCTAATTTGCGGAAGTGGATCTACAAAAGCGATGAATGGCTAAGAAACATCCTGAACTACAACTTCTGAATGAGGAGTATGAGCATACAGCGATCCTCAACCTCGAATAATTTTTAAAACACGGCCGTGCAATAAGCACTATAGGTCGCAAGTTGTCCCGTTATCGTTTTGAAGGCGAAGCGACGTTATGCCGAAGTCACACTGGTTTAGGAAGTACAGGCGAGTGTGTGCGCTATGCTGCGCCTCGTATTTCCCCACCTTGCACTCCAAGAGGAAAGGGTGTCGGAAGCAGATGTGCGGAAGTAGTCGAGAAAAAACTTGTGAACCCCTCCCCCAAGTGTTCAGGCCTACCAGGTCTGCCTCTACTGAGATCAGCAGCATCATCAAAACTACAGGTGTACCTACTTCCACACATCTTCGCTCAGAACACAAAAGAAACCTAGGGATACAAGAAGAACCTCGTTATTATACAACAGCAGCTTAATCTTCCTTGGACTAGAAGATAATTCTAATTCAAGTCGACAGGAACAGGATGATCAGGTACGAGCGACGTAAAGAAGGACGTGACGAATGAGTAACAAGTGGCGAAGAAGATCTGAAGACTACTCGGAGGTGAGGGTGCAACATGGTCTGTTTGAGCCTGTAAATGAAAATGCATTCATACAAAATAAAATGTAGGACGCGCAGATTGTGGCACGGCT